TTGAAATAATAATGATTTATTTTTGCAGCCAAAACAAAATGACATTCTTATTAATTTTACGTCAAATATTATTACGTTTAAAATATTTTTTTCTGCGTGTAGGGAAGAGCGCTACTTCGTCGTAATCGCCCATTTCCGTTCTATCGAGCAGAAATCATCAATAATATCAATGATTTCACCATGCACAAAACAATAATACGTTTGTTCCGATGCTTTAGTTCATTAGCTGGACATGGACATAAATCCTATTAGAGCGCATTGTATGCATATTTACGCTCATTGTTCTCAAAACAAAAGAAGCGCTCCTAGCGCATCCCCTTTTTCTCCATTTATCCGTAGGACGAAGAAAATCTAATGGCGTTTCAATGCGTTTGGACGGAATTGAAACGCGTAGGACGAATTTAGAAGCAAGAAGCAGTGTTAGATTTTTAATAATATCTCAACATTGTTTGACTCTTTATCAAATCCAACGGTACGCATGGAAAGGTGGATAAATATAAAAGTTATCTTTGATGAAAACATTCCATGTTTTGTTCAAACGCTTTCCAAAAAGCGTGGTAAAGTGCGGGATGTCCTTAGTAGGACGGAAATTAGATCAAAAACCCTAGTACGATTTTTACCACAAACGAAGTGACAGACGACTAACTGGCAAAGAAATCAATTAAAATAATGTGGTTCTCTGTAATAGAATTTTCTTAAAAGCTTGTACCATCAGCCACCAGATGGGCTAGTATTTTTGGTTTGATTCTAGGTTTGATTTGAACAAAGTTGATTTTGTGTGCAATCAGACTACAGAGTTATAACAACAATCAATACGAAACTATATGTTTCATTGTGATTAATCAACACTCAAAGGGGTCAAATATCAAATTTGGGGTGAATTAGAAAGAAAGGGAACTTGGAGTGTAGAGCGCACTGCCCACTGGACGATTCTGAAGCCTGGCCAAGTGAGTGTGGTATGGGTTTATTAAATTGAACATGAACGTCAATTCCAATTTATATATTTATACATTCAAACCATTGGCATTTGGTATTAGAGATTAGACAGAGATAGGATGCGGAAGGCCCACTTAGGGGGAGCGTAACGCATGTTATGGTTTCCATTTATTAAATAGTTCAGATAGGCTAGAAATGACAGGTTCATAGTGAGAGAATGTACCATAATGGTGCCCGTTCACTGATCAAAATCAGATTCACATCATTAGGCCCTGCCCAAGAATAAGAGGATTGACGATGATTTGTCAAGTTTTATTTTGCAATTTGCATATAATTGTAATTGATTGAATGAATGAATGAATTAAGTAGTTAAGATAATAATAAAATAAGAATAATAAGAAAACGTAACATGATGCACTAACTAATTAACTGGATTAACGAGATCGACTATGGGAATAGGAACCTAAATTAATAACATATGTAAGATTAGCGAGATTTAATAACCAATAATTGTGAAGATATGGATTGGGAAGGGGATCTGGGAACATTTACATAAAGTTCGCCCATGGGGAGGGATATGACGAGGGATATGATAAGACGGAAGCTACAATAGGAGAGGAACACAATAAATGAATGCATTCAGGAGGAGAGGCTTGTTAAAGCACTGTTTTTCAGAGTTACAGACTTCTGTTTTTCAGGTCTCTTATTCAGCGGAACGCGAGGATGGACGTCATGATAAACGACTAACGATAAACTAATCCCAACCAAGTTTTGAAGAGAAACCATTATCTAGTTGCAGCTGAAAGGAGATACTAAAAATTTTCAATTCCTGTTTCTGTCGGTATTTGTTTTTGTTTTTGTCTCGTTTCAGTCACGCAACTGATTACTACCAATAACCAATTACAATTAACTAGTGAAGAAGTATAAACGAATTTTGTTGATTATGATTATGAAATAAATCCGCCAGAACATCGCAGGAAAGGCAAACACTAAGGCGGCGGAGCGTCAATAAGTAAATCAAGCAAGCCGATAGGAAATTGACCTGGGCCCAGGTCAAGCAGCTGCCCAGAATGGAAGTCTTTCACGTTTGCCCTGTGCACCTCTGTGCACCCAGGTATTTGAATACGGCAGCGATGGACGTAGCCCCCTTGGAACGGAAATGAAAGCGAACAAACCTGATGTTGCACAACAAGCTGGTTTTTTTTTTAGTTCTTTTCAGCAAAACAACAAAATCCTCTATCTCTCTCTTTATTCTTTTAATCTCTTACTATCCCCTAATCGGACGCTAGTGGGACCAACAAGCCTGCTAGTGAAAGGAAAGTCGTTATGCTATACGGTCTAGCATAGGCCACGAATAAATTTCCGTAGGTTCATGCCTGGCTTAAGTGCAGATCGGTAGGCAGTAGCCTGCCAGGGTGTGAACTGAGCAATAACAATAATAACAATCAGACTACAGAGTTATAACATAGAGGTAACTCTAAGACAAGAAGGTCACGAAATAACGTGCTCAACTTTTTGGCTCAGCTCTGGTACTCTCTTCGGTCCCAAGCTAATCGATTCACCCCTCGAAACATAGGAAAATCCACTAACCGCTCATTTTATCTGTCAAACTTTCATAGCAAATCAAAACAAACATTGTGTAGTAGTAGAATTTCGACTAGAATGGGGTACGTTAATCGTTTGCTTGGGACCAATAGGCTACTAAAGTGGTGAGCCAATTTAAAATCGTTAGTTTCGTATTGATTGTTGTTATAACTCTCTAGTCTGGACAGCGAAATTTGCCAAAAGGTATAAGGAGATTTCTATCCGTAGTAGTAGCTTCGGATTTATCATTCCTAGTCATAATCCAGAATTTACGGAACCAGATACTGGAGGCCTTGGAATAGATGCCAATGTGTTACCAGATACAACCTGATTTCATTGATCATATCTTGGCATTTTGGCATAATATGATATCATAACCTCAATGTAATTATATTCCAACAAACTGGTTCGCCGGAATTCACAGATCCACTTTCCGGAATCGATGCCATCTGAAATCATCTTCATTCACTTGATTCTACCTATTTGGCATGCCACAAGATACTTTTGCCTGAGATATTATCCGAAGAAACGTGCTCAACTTTTTAGTTCAGCTCTGGTACTCTCTTCGGTCCCAAGCTAATCGATTCACCCCTCGAAACATAGGAAAATGCACTAACCCCTCATTTTATCTGTCAAACTTTCTTAGCGAATCAAAACATACATTAGACTTTCGACTAGAATGGGATACGTTAATACGTTAATCTTTTGCTTGGGACCAATAGGTTAGTCAAGTAGTGAGCCAATTTAAAATCTTTGAGGCCCAAGCGCAATGACAGCGGAAGCGTAACGGCAACGGCAGCGGAAAAGCCTGATCTGAGTAAGCCAGCTTCTCGGATTGAAAACTTGTTGGAATCTGGGAGGGAGAAGCAGATAGCGCACACGGAATTCATTGTATACTTGTTCTTGTACAAAATAGCGTGTTTTGCTTTGAGCGTGTAGTGATTGTTTGAGATTGTTCAGTGTGCAGTGAGAAACTGTACTTTTCTGTTTGGTATTTTACTATGCCACTAAATGTTTTGACAAAACCTTGGTTAATGGTATCTTTCAATATTGATTTGTGTGTATTTTGAATGAATTAAAAATAAACGGTGTCCCATTGAATAAAATAGCTGGAAACGACAGTTTCTCACAAATTACTTTACGCAAGATTTCAATACCGCCTTGTGCATTCTTGTTCAACTGTGAGAAAAGCATCATAAAATTGCTTGGCTCCAAATGACAGTTCGTGACAGCAGCCGTCTGGCTGCATTTGACGTTCCATTTTTCTCTCTTCGCGACTCTCCCTCAGGTTGGAACCAAATCGACTTCCGTTAGGCATCTTGATGTCATTTGTGAAAACTCAAACTTTCCGTTTCCGTTCCGCTTCCGTTCACATTGCGTTTGGGCTTTTAGTTTCGTATTGATTGTTGCTTATAGTACGTTCAGACTACAGAGTTATAACATGTTATAGTGCTATCTTGATGGTGGTTTCTGTGTTGCAATTAGTTGACAACCGTTATAACATGTTATAACCATAGAGGTAACTCTAAGACCACTGGGTCCCGAAGAAAATCATTATTATTTTTGGCTCACTCAGTACCAGAACAACGGTCCCAAGCAGTCCCAAGCTATTTCACTCACCCCTGCATGTTCTGCATGAATCCACACACCCCTGATGTTATCTGTCAAACTTTCATAGCGAATCAAAACAAACATAGTGTAGTAATAGAATTTCAACTAGAATAGGGTACGTTAATCGTTTGCTTGGGACCAATAGGCTACTAAAGTGGTGAGCCAATTTAAAATCGTTAGTTTCGTATTGATTGTTGTTATAACTCTCCAGTCTGAACAAGGCATTATAGCATAGAGGTAACTCTAAGACTAGAAGGTCCCGAAATAACGTGCTCAACTTTTTGGCTCAGCTCTGGTACTCTCTTCGGTCCCAAGCTAATCGATTCACCCCTCGAAACATAGGAAAAACCAATAACCCCTCATTTTATCTGTCAAACTTTCATAGCGAATCAAAACAAACATTGCGTAGTACTAGAATTTCGACTAGAATAGGGTACGTTAATCGTTTGCTTGGGACCAATAGGCTACTAAAGTGGTGAGCCAATTTAAAATCGTTAGTTTCGTATTGATTGTTGATTATAGTACGTTCAGACTACACTCAAAAAATATAGGAAGCTAAATAGTATAAAAGTTACGCTAAATCGCAACTCTCCGTGCCGACGCAAAGGTCGGTTTAAAGGGAGAGAATAAAGACTTAGTGTTTCGGACGGAACTCAGCGGTCAAAATAAAAAATGGACTGTATAGTTTTTTGTTTTTTACATCCGTACTCTACGGTAACTTTAATATACTGATCCTTTCTCTGCTGCCCTGCTCCAACCGGAAGACGCGTAACAAGAAAATCAAGTTAGGGAACTGTCAAATTGCGCTTGAGGGATAGGACATCGACCTACTCTACACTGAATCAAAAATACAGGTTTAGAATTTTCACTTAACATCCTCCCCCAGGAGCCGGATGGCTCAACTTATCCGTTTGGCTGGTCCGTTCTGCATCTTCTATGGGTAGAACAGCAATTTGCGTTGTAGATCGCTTGTACGTGCCATTGTTAGTTCGTACGGTTACTACCCGAACAACACCATCATTTCCAGGGTGAGTTTTGATAATACGCCCCAGTTTCCAAGTTTGCGGTGGCAAATTATCATCTTTCATTATCACCAACAGTCCTTCACGAAGCAACGTGGGAGTTTTGTTCCATTTGCTGCGCTTCTGTAGTCCGGTTATATACTCACATGACCATCTTCGCCAAAACGATTGCTTTCGTTTTTGGATCAATTGGTAACGAGACAACGTATTTTCCTTGAGACCATCGTAGAACGGTTCGGCTATAGCTGTCAATTCTCGGCCAACCAGGAAATGACCAGGACTTAACGCATCATAATCCATCGGATCGTCGCTTTGTGGTATTATAGGCCTTGAATTTAGGATGGATTCAATCTGAATCAGCAATGTTGTCATCTCTTCATAGGTGAAGTACGATTCGTTCATCACCTTATACAGATGACTCTTCATACTTTTTACTCCGGCTTCCCAAAGTCCACCTTGGTGCGGAGCCTTCGGTGGATTGAAACTCCACGAGATTCCACGAGGCTGACAAAAATCTTCAAGCTTGTTCTCCAGCAATTGAGATTTCAGCAACTCTCGCAATTCGGCCAATTGTCGCTCAGCGCCGACAAAATTGGTTCCATTATCAGAAAACATCTCACTGACGTTCCCACGGCGTCCAACGAAGCGGTGCAATGCCCCCAAGAATCCCTCTGCAGATAAGGAACTCACAAGCTCAAAATGTATCGCCTTAGTAGTCATACAGACGAAAACACTAACGTACGACTTGATCGGTGTCTTCGACCGACCTTGCTTCAACAAAAAAGGGCCTGCGTAGTCTACTCCCGTTCTAGCGAAAGGCTGAGCAGCGGTGACGCGTGCAATCGGCAAATCACCCATAAACTGCTGTACATCCTTCGGCTTTAGTCTGAAGCATTTGATGCACTTCCCTAGGACGCGTTTGATCGTACGCTTCGCATTTACTGGCCAAAATTGTTGCCTGATTTTAGCCAATAATCCATTTAGACCGACATGTAGTTCTTCACGGTGGATTGCTTCGATGACAATATCAGTAAAGTTGTTCTTCTCCGGCAATATCAATGGATGTTTCTGATCGAGCGGTAGTATGGCATTCCTGATTCGACCACCCACACGCAGCAATCTCTCCGTCTTATCAAAAACAGGATTCAAATTTCGTAACTTACCCTTCACCGGTTCACCTTTCAAGACGCTTCTAATTTCATCGCGATACACTGCATTTTGTACAATCTTCACCATAGTGTACAGTGAGTCACGAAAATCTGCAATGTTCAATCTTCCACGACGAAATTCTGATTCGTTTCGCTTTGCACGACAATTACGGATAAACCGGGTTACGTAACCGAACACTCTTTGTAGTCGGCGAAAGTTACTACTGTTCTGAATCACTTCGTACAATCCTTCATCGGGCACTGTAACTACAGTCACTGAAATCGTCTCTTCACTCAAGTCTTCGGTTTCTTCATTTACTGTTTCATCAACTACACTTGATCGAAGAAATTCCGGTCCATTCCACCACAAGTCACTTTTCGTTAATTCCAAAGGTAGTACACCTCTCGACACCAAGTCCGCTGGATTTGCTTTCGTTCCAACATGCAACCAATCAGCATCGATGGTCAGTTCGCGAATCTCCGCAATCCGATTGCGGATGAACACTGGTTGGTTAGGCTTCGATTTCCTAATCCAACAAATCACTATACTCGAATCGGACCTTAGCACGACACGCGAAATGTCGATACTCAAGGTTTCGCGCACTGTTTTCATTTGTCTAGCTAGTAGTACAGCTGCACACAGCTCCAATCTCAGCGTGGTTAATTCTTCCGGTGGTGCTCCTTTCTTCTCCTTACGGTTCAGCTCCTTAAGCGGTGCAACTCTCGATTTGCCGCACAGTAGCTTTACTTCAACGATGCCATCAACGGTCACGCTACGCAAGTACACACAGCAACCATATGCTGCTTGCGAAGCGTCCGAAAACCCGTGCAACTCGAACACCGACGGATTATCAACGGTAACGCGACGAGGTATCTTCATGTTGTTTATTGCACACAACTCGGATCTTAATTTGTTCCACACCCTGAACTCTTCAATGGGAATCGGCTCATCCCAATCGATTTTCTTCCTCCATAGTTGTTGCATTACTATCTTCGCTAACACTATTGCTGGACCCAACACACCGAGAGGGTCAAAGAGTCTTGCGATCTCGGAAAGCACTTGTCTCTTGGTTTGCGGTGCCGCACACTCCACCATCGGTTTCACTCGAAATACAAAGTTATCACTCACTGGGTCCCACAAGAGTCCGAGGGTTTTTATCACACCGTTCACATCACTTTCTTCGAAGCGCAGTTGCTTCTCACGGTCTTTTGACGGAACTCCTTCAAGAATCGCAGGATCGTTTGCACACCATTTATGTAGTTTGAAGCCTCCTCTTCCCAGTAAAACTTGTAAATCTTCACGCAGCTTCCGTGCCTTCTCTAGCGAATCTGCTCCGGTAAGTGCATCATCTACATAGAACGACTTCAAAACAACCTCACAAGCATCCGGAAAATCATTCTGTTCATCCTTCGCCAGTTGTACCAACGATCGCGTGGCCAAGAATCCAGCTGGACCAACACCGTATGTTACTCGGAGCAACTCCAAATCCAATATTGGTTGCGTCCGGTCATCCCGAAATAGACATCTCAAGTATTTCGTATGAGCAGCATGCATCACAACTTGCCTATACATCTGCTTAGCATCTCCAGTGAAAGCGTACTTCGGCAATCTCCACCGCAACACGATGTCAAACAATGGGCTCTGCACGACAGGTGCCTCCATCAACACATCGTTAAGCGATAAGCTCGTTGTGGTTTTTGCGGATGCATCGAACACCACTCGTAATTTCGTCGACGAACTATCTGGCTTCAACACACAATGGTGCGGAAGGTAATATGCTCCATTGACCTTAATCTCATCTTCATTCAAAATCTTCGCGTGTCCGAGATCTAGGTACTCATGTACGAAATCGGAATACATCTTCTTCATTTCTGGATTTCTATCCAGTCGGTTTTCCAGTGCTTTGAAGCGTTTCTCTGCTTGGTTACGAGATTCTCCTAAGCTACCCACACCTTCACGAAAAGGTAATTGTACCACGAACCTCCCGTCTTCCGCTCGAGCATAAGTAGCTTTGAAGTGACGCTCGCAATCATCGTTCTCTAACGGATCGTACGTTTGATCTTCAATCGTCCAAAAACGCCTCATCAATTCTTCCAATCGTTTCATAGGCCCATCCACAGATTCAGCTTGGTAACCCTGAACGCTAACAACATTTGGAACGTTGTATACTGGTCCGGCAACCAACCATCCCAACAAACTTTCTTGCAACAACGGAAGATCTGTTGACATAAGAATCTTCCCATCCTGAAGCAACTCATAGAATTTCTCGGCTCCGATTAGCAAATCAATGCGACTCGGATTGAAAAACTTTGGATCCGCTAGCTTCAACTTTTTCGGTATCGGCCAACTAGTTGCGTCTAGTTTCAACGATGGTAATGCTCCAGTCACTCGAGGCACCACCAGGCAATCCAGGGAGAAACTGCATTCTGTCGTTCTGGATTTCACAATGGCATTAATGTTGAACCTCACAATTGTCTTAGCTCCGTTAACGCCAACAACTGGAACGTTCACGCATTCCTTGCGCAAACCCAGCAAATCACACGTTCTTTCTGACACGAAACTCGCCATCGCACCAGAATCAAGCAACGCACGGCACCTGTGCGCTACACCTCTACTATCGAAAATATCAACCATTGCAGTCGCCAACAGTACTTGCTTCACCGAACGATTCGGAACAACAGGAACTTCACACCTAGCCACAATTTGTTCTCCACCTGATGAACCGGAACCTTCAGTTACTGATCTTGTCTCAGCATTGCCCGTCGCCGTCTCAGTAGACTCCTTCTTCACTTCGTAGTGCATGAGCGGATGGTGTTTCCTTTTACACAAACACAGTTTGCTGCTATCGATCTTACAGTTTGCTGTACGATGTCCTCGTTTCAGGCAAGCAAAACATAATCCAATTTGTTTCGCTTTCGTGTATCGATTGTTGACATTCAACCCTTTGAACGTGTCGCACATCTCGATCAGGTGATCGGCATTGCACACCAGACAACAGGTTTCTTGATGAACTGTAGCTGTGTGCACCTTGTTGGTGACAGCAGGAATCCGAGGATTAAGCGCGACATTCTTTGTTTTTCCTTGTCCCAACGACTGTTCACACCGCTCTAGCATATAACAATGCTGTCGAAGAAAATCCATGGTTTTTCTGTACTCTGGCAGCTCACCATGCTCTACTGTCGCTTCCCAAGCCTTGCGAGTGTCAATATCGAGCTTGGAAATAACCAAGTTTACAATCATTGCCTCTGATAATTTGTCATGCATTTTCAGATTGTGGAACTCGAGTGATTCCAGTCGCTTTTCAACGACATCAAGCCTCGCATCAAGCAAACTTGTCAGTTCTGCATGAGAACCCTTAACCATCGACTTTAACGATAGCAACTGTCCAATATGAGGTTGGACGACCCTGCGCAAATTCTCGAACCTTTTTGCGAGTATTCTCCAAGCTCCCTCATAGTTATTATCGTTCAACGTCTGTTGATCAATGGCTCCTTTAGCTTTCCCTATTAGAGCCTTGTCGAGAAAGTGCAACTTCGTGGCAGGAGAATCCCCGGTGCATTTGTTCACTACATCTGTGAACCGATCTCTAAACTTATACCAGGTTTCATAGCTACCATCAAAGGTTGGTAGCGGAGTTTGTTGGAGTAAAAGAGATGGCAATAATTGAACTGGAGCTGTCGTTCCACTGCCGCCAAGTCTGCTAATAGAGTTAGCCTTTGCACTTTCCAGTTGTTTAGCCACGACTAGATCAGCTACAGATTTTTGCTCATCTTCATGCTGCTGTATCATTTCCGACAAAGAAATACGCACAAACTGATACAGCTCCTCAAAATCTATAAACTTGGGCTCAAACGTTTCCCTTTTCGTCGGATCAACTAGGTAGATCCGATTGAGGAATCCGTTGAAATCATCATATGCTGTGTCCACGGTTTTAACATATAGTTTAAGGGCATGAATGTTAAACTTACCGTGATCAGCATCGGCAGCATCAATAGCTTGTCGTATTCTATCAACCTTACCTCGGGTTGACGTCAAACACTCGTCCAAAGCAGCCACCGTATCAGCCATAATGATTTCTCGTAGCCGAGCTTCTTTTTCTTCTTTTTGCTCGCGCACACTACGGATCGGTGTCGGAACTGCCCCTCTGGGAGTGAAAAACAAAGGAGAACCAAGTGGAGAGGCAACGGGCGAGGAGAACAAAAGCTTCTTCAATTTCCCGGAACGCAGCTGCATACCACTAAAAACTTCCTTATTCTTTTTTTGTTTTCGTTTTCTATGCTTCACTCAATCACCGGATCACCGGTGTCGAATTGTCAATCACTAGTCGCATGGCACTTTCCAACAAGCTAAATTTCCGTGCGACACTTTTTCTTCTTCCCTTTTCAGCAGGGATCACTCAATTTTCTCGGAAGCCGTTTCAAAATGGCTACCACAACGAATTCACGGAACGAAAATCAACTTTCGGCTCTTCCAGGCCTTTCAAAATCGCACCGCGTGGTTCGTCAATTGAATAAATTTTGAATAGCCGTCTCAAGATGGCTGCCACAGCGAAAATCCACTACGCAATCGGCTCTTCTAAGCCGTTTCACATGCGCACCGCGTTATTTTCATCGACCGCACCACCCAGACGCCATTTCAATTCAACTTCGGCCGCTTATCGGATGGAACAATTTTTCAGCCTGCCCCTATGACTGGCTCAAAACACACTTTTCCAGCTTCTTCAAGAGCCAGAAATCTTTTATTCCACCGATTTACGATCGATCACTACTATTCCACTATTTTCCGCACGATTCATCATCCGGGACGAATGGACCAAATGTTTCGGACGGAACTCAGCGGTCAAAATAAAAAATGGACTGTATAGTTTTTTGTTTTTTACATCCGTACTCTACGGTAACTTTAATATACTGATCCTTTCTCTGCTGCCCTGCTCCAACCGGAAGACGCGTAACAAGAAAATCAAGTTAGGGAACTGTCAAATTGCGCTTGAGGGATAGGACATCGACCTACTCTACACTGAATCAAAAATACAGGTTTAGAATTTTCACTTAACACTTAGTATAAAAATTATTTATGCCTGCCATAGTATAAAATCGAAATATGCTTGCAATGCATACATATACGGTTTATTCGAGGAAATGTATTTTCTGCTTCTTTTTCGTTTAATGCTTAATATCTGGGTACTGCGGAGTCGACCAATTTTATTTTGCAAGCCAATGGAAAACTGCTTGAAAATTTTCTCAAGTTTAAAATTGATTTGCTCTTTCTCAGTTGATTCCCGCCAAAAGCTCTGAGCCAGGAGTGCTCGAGCCCCCATGACTCTATCAAAGTTTGTTTACATACATGTTTCGCCAAAGTATGTTTTACTGTAATTGAAAACTCAGCTGCCTCATAAAAACTATGCTGGTTTTTATACTTTCATCACTAAGCTTGTTGGTTTTTATCTTTGAGCTTAAAATTAAGAATGTGTTATGAAAAAGTATAGAGCATTTTAATGAGATTACAATGCTTGACGGTAGATAAGAATAGTAACTGCATTTGCTGCTTCTGAATGTTTGGCTCCCGCTTGGCAGTTCACACTGGCTCCCAAGTGACAAGCACCTTGAGTGAGTCCGCAGTACTCAGCTTAATATGATTGTTTTAAAATAAAAATTAAAGTTTTAATTAAAGCAAAAGCAGTACCATAAAATTATCATTATCTAAACCCAGGTTTATCATTACCCTCATTACCCGACGTTTTGATCTTTGATAGGCGGCTAAAACTTGGGTCCACCCGGAATGGTCATATTCAACGCTTTGGCCGTTAAGTCGAACAGATAGATGAAATTACTGTGCATCAGCAGATTATTGGCTAATCGATACAGGGTTGCCATTGATGGCAGGCTCTGATTCCACTTCCGGCAGGCTTATATGCTTCTTTCGATCAATGAGCGGACGATGTTTGCAGAACCATTTGAGAACGTTACCACCTTCAACGTGAACTGAAAAACGACTAGTGCCTTCATGTTTGACATTGTCATTTTTGATCGTTTTAGTATACACTGATCGAATTCCACTCCGATAATCGGACTTAGTATAGTTTTGAAGAAAATATTAATCGGACCAATGTATAAATTTTGATTAATAATAAAATGCATAAAACTTAATCAATACTGGTTTTGTGATATTTTTGAGTGTACAGTGTAATAACAACCGGTGGCGTCATGGTAAATAATGTTGTGCGGTGAGTGATACGAAATAGCAGTGAAAAAGTGCATACATGCTGAATGTAAACAATAAGTTTGTTGATCCAATCAGACTTTCTCGTGAAACTGACAGCTAGAAATCTCGAGTGAGAGTTATCTGGTGCAGAATGTAAACATAAACAAAGCAGAAATTCTACTGTGATCAGTCAAAAGTTCTTTTTGGACCGGCGTCGGTGGTGTAGTGGTAAGCATGACTGCTTTCTCATTCTTTTCTCAATGCGTCTGGGTTCAATCCCAGCCGAGATCGGTGGGATTTTTCTGATTTTTTCTGTAAACAAAAAAGTCAGCTGATCGCAACTGTCTCGTGGACAGCCTTATGCATACAATGACGTTTATATAAGGTCTGGGCCAAATGGCTTATTGGTGTTAGTGAAATGTGCAAATGGTTAGTGATGTTCGTATTATATTGCAATGTTTATCTTTTTACACGAAACAGCTGTTGGCAGTCAATGAGCTGGATTACCGAGGTGAAGCAATCACTCACACAACCACTGTACGATACACGCAAGTACACGCAAGTAGTGACGTCACTACTTGCGTTTACGTTGATTTTTTGGTTTACTAATACAACCCTATTTCACGATCTGCGCCACCTCTCTCTGTACCTCATTGGTTGGCAGTGACTTATTTCTATCTGTTCGCAGATGTTCAGCAATGCTTACAAAAATTTTGCTTCTAACACCAGCAAGCTGCCTGTTGGCCCAGACCTTATATAAATTTCATTGATATGCATCTGCCTCTATCTGCATCAATGTTTTGAACGTCGGCGCCGGTGGTGTAGTGGTAAACGCTACAGCTTTCTAACCCCAATGGGTCTGGGTTCAATCCCCCGAATATGAGAAAAGAGATTCTCTCAGTCTGTAAGTACTTCTCCTAGACTGAGTAAAATTTTCGTCAATTTTCCCCATTTTCCGGTAGATTTTTTAGGTTTTTCACAGGAAAACATGATTTAAATTTACTCATCGCTGCACTTTTTGCAATTTAAGAGTAAACTGAACCCAAATTTGGATTGATCTCGTTGGCCGTAAAGTTAGCAGTGCCTGCTATGAATGTATAGAGATTAGTGACGTTTAACGCACGCACACTAAGGAGCAGCAAATCCAAACACATAAAGTAACCAACGATAAAGCAAAACGAGCAAAACGCTTGCTACTACTACCACGATAGAATCTCTCTGTAATATATAGCTTGATCGGAGCTGTAGAAGGATAATGATATATCGCTTGCCTGCTTTGTTGCAGTATACATGGTTGAGGACATCCACAGAAAAAAAAGTTTTTGAACATTGCATCTAAACAGCTGCATAGAGGTCATTCCGCTGGTTATTTAATATTACGTTGTACGATGTACATCGATTTTGCGAACTAAATTTCATCTACTGATGTAATATTGTATCTGATTTTTGTTATTACAGCATTATTTCATACATCAACTTGAATTATGTTGATCGATTTTACAATTTTTTTTTTGCTGTGTAGCTTGATCGGAATCGAGAAAAGCATAACAAAATAAATCCCATTAACACACGTGTATCATCTTCGGCTTCACTTCGTGAAGCAGCTTGCCAACGCTTCAGTGTCAACATTTAAAAAGAACGAATTTGCTTTTGTAAACGTTGATTTCCGAATGCGAATTCAAGCTCATACATGCAAATTAAAGACATCATCAGGTAGAGGAATAGTTCCTCTACCAACTGGCATCGTTAATTTGCAGAAGTGAGCTTTTATTTGCGAGAAATTGGTGGTTGAAGTAATTGTTTACAAAAGCAATTTCGCCCTAATGAAATATTTGCACCGAATTTGTTCGTTTCCTTCTACCTGCCCGAGCGAGATTTATTACAAAGGTCGTTTATCATGAAAAAAGGGAAGAAGATTATATCATTATTGCTTTCCATTACAGACATGCGTTAACGTTGGCTCGTTTATCGCTTGTCATTTTGTCATTTTGAGATATTTTTACAACGAACCACTGCAACTGCCGAACCACGGAATCAAAGCTGTTAAATATCTCAGCCAAAATGGTTGAATGTGGAATTTGTCTTGAGCACTACCAGGAGGGTGATTTGGAGCTGCATCGGGAGATGTGCGTCGTACGGTTGATGTTCCGATGCTCCCTATGTGACGAGGACTATGTGAGCAAGGAAGGGCTGTGGAACCATCTGGACCTGCATGAGGTAAGAGGAAATCAATGATGCATTCGTTTTAACCGATCTATATTAACATGTTGTTTTCATCGAAAGATTGCAGATGAAGGTAAAGAATTGCACTATCAGGAAATAAAAGCAAAACACAAATTGCATCAATGCGTTCTGTGCAATGACCAACGTGCCTATTCGGAGAGTCCCTACTGGAAGCACGTTCATGTAAGTGATGGATTTCAATACAAATGACAATAAATAGTATGCTTGGATCGTATTACAGGACGTTCACGATGGCTTCTTTCTACGGTGTTTTGATTGTGGGGTAAACTTCCGATCCGAATCGCTTAAGAATGATCATGCCTTGAGTCATTGTAAGGCCAGGGATAAAACAGTAACTGCGGACTATAATGCCCTGGAAGAGGAACAAGTTCCTATTGAAGTGGAAAATATGACTTCTGATGCTGATAATTTGAAGCTATCGCGGGGAGAGCAGAGTAGTAATGCAAATGAAGAACTTCATAATCGATTGAGTGAGCATTCGCGTGTTAATTTGAATACTGACAACGATGCGGACAAGGAATCCGAATCCGACAAGGATTTGCAGTCAGATATTGCTTGCGATATTTGCGGAATGACATTTTTAACAAAACACTTGCGTCTTTGTCATAAGGTAAGTACTACGTTGGGTGGAGAACGGCTTCAGTCACCCGAGACCCTATTTAAAGCTCGGGATTTTTTTTTTCTAAAGAAATTTAATCAGAAATCTATCCAAAAGATGCTCACATCACATCATGGACGTTGTAAATTATTGTTTTCCCATTCTTGGAATATAGTCTAGGGGGATCCAAAGCCATTCTCACCCTATGTTGACATTCTCCTACCATATTTTTTTACTGAGCAATACTTTCTTTATCGCCATAACAGAGGGCAAAATACGCGTGTATGTTAGCAATGCAGCAAAAATGTCCCTATTGCCGGAGAGTATTCAAGATAAAAGAATATCAAGCACACTTTCCATTATGTCCAATGAAGACCAAAACTTCAGCGAACCTTGCGAGATATATGACAATTGGTCATCGTCGTAAAGGAGTTTTACTGGACGAGAAGGAATGCCAAAATCAAGTTACGGATATTATGGAAAAAACGATAAATTCAGCTGAAAAAACAACTACGCGTTCTGGCCATGAAATCTTAGTCGCCAGTTTGGATTCATCCTCTACCCCGAATGTTGTTGAAGGTACTGAGGTCGAGAATACCCCAAGTAGATCATCCGAAGCCCTGTCTGTCATAAAGTGTGTTCACTGTGACAGAGAGTGTGACAGTGAAAGTATTTTACATAATCACATGTTACAGTCTCATCTGCCCACCAAGTGTAAAATTTGCGGCATCATTTCTGAAGGCGTTGGCAGAGCCCGATATCATAAGGTTTGTCTTACTTTGCTTCATATTAATTGAAATTAGTGGTGGGTAATATGTATATGTACTTTTCTCAAGATTGTGTCACTTTGTAAATTTACTCAAGCTGAAGCGAATTTGGATCATTTGCGAAATCATTTATTATATTTTTCCTTGTGTAATACTGTTTTTATTTTTCATTTCAGAGAATGCAACACACTAAACGGAACTACGAGTGTGCTAAATGCTCGAGGAAATTTCTCTACCTACATCTTTTAAAGCGTCATTCGAAAGGGTGTCATGCTGTTCAGGATGACTTCTCGAGTCAGAAGAGTTCTGGTGAACTTATCCTGAAAGATCCCCCCAGGAGTGACCAAAAAATGGTGGTAGAGAATTCTTCGAATGAAACATCCTCTATCAAATGTTCCCACTGTGGAATAGGAGAGTCCAGTGCCGATACCCTAGCTCGTCACATTTTAATCCACCATGAGCCAGTGGCATGTGATCTCTGTGGAATTACTTGGCCCAGTCTTTCCCAGGCTCAGCATCATAAGGTTTGTAGACTGAGCAACGTTTCTCAATCATCATCATATTTCATAATTTCTTTGAATGTTCTAATTAGGAAACATCCATAATGTTAAATTTTGTTATGAATATAACCCATTAAGCGAATTTAAGGTTGTTTTGGCTTTTTTCGGGTGGTTCGATCATTTAGTTTTAGGACCATTCAAAGGTAGTTCATACTATTTTCGCGATCTTAACCCGCCGTTACTCGCGCCAACTTTTGTAACACGAGTACTTGCGCGTTGTACTTTGTACAACAGTGTGAGTTTTCCATTGCCATTTTGCAGCCGAGCCACCAACCGATATGAAACCAACGGGTATTCCTTAAAAAAAAACTTGTTTTTAACTAAAATCACAGTTAACCCCCAAAAAATGCGGATAATAGAGAAAATGTGAATGGAAACCGCGTAAACGGTGTCCGTACTACGTGGGATTTGGTTACAACATAGAAAATCTTGAGATCCTGACCAGATAGAAAGTTACTGTCTTGGGCAAAGTTGTTCTAGAGATCATAACCTTTTCGCTGAAGAAGTTAAGTTCAGAATTTTCTCACTACGTAGCGCTAGAATACATGTGAAATTATCGCATGTGATATATCTCGAGATCATGACCAGATAGAAAGTTACTGTCGTCGACTAAGTTGTTGATGATATCAAAGCCTATTTCTTGGTGCACAATAGTTCAAAATTTTCTCAATACGCGGCGCTAGTATACACGTGAAATTCTCATATAAAATATCTCGAGAACCTGACCAGATAGAAAGTTACTGTCTGCGGCAAAGTTGTTCAGAAGGTCAAGCCTTTTCGTTGGTGGTTCAGAGTTTTCTCACTTCGTGGCGCTAGTGTACATGTAAAATTCTCGCATATATAAAATATCTCTAGATCCTTACCATATAATAAGTTACTGTCTTCGGCAAAGTTTTTCAGGAAGTCAAGATTTTTTCGTTGGTGGAGTAGTTCAGAAAATTCTCACTACGTGGCTTTCAAATATTGAATAATGGTAATGCTAACGTTTATTACTGATTAGGAAAATTACGTTTATTCGATAAAAGCACATGTTTTAAACTGAAGGGTAAAGAGAGGTACATATGTCAAAAACACTCAGTGCTGCCAGTCTGTTCAGGTGCGGAAGCCAGTGTGTACAGAAACGTTGATTTGTGTATGAAAACATAACACATTTCCCTCCTTTAACGGCCATCTGGCGAGAAGATGATTCGTGGCTTCCTGGCTCTTGTCGACCTTCGTGGAGCTGCTGGAGGTGTTACCACTCCGCTAGCATCGCGGGTGATGCTCGGGGTGGTGAACTGCTCACCACCACTGTTTGTTGATACATTTATCCATCCGTGGGTTGAAAGATCGAAAATAAACTGGCTGGGAGACGCCAAACTCACGAAACGATGAATCCAACTTATTTTTCTGTTGTTGGCAGATTCTTGTAGTGAGATCCGCTGGCAGCAGTAGATTCAGGCGTGTTCGAATGTTCCTACCGAGAAACAGTTGACATGGCGGTTGACCAGTAGTAGAATGAGGTGCTCTTCTGTATTGTCGAAGAAACTCGTTCAAATTGAGTTGAATGTTGCTTCATCCATTGCTTTCAAAGCATTCTTCACTGTCTGGACACAACGCTCGGCCTGTCCATTAGTTGATGGGTGGTACGGAGCAGTTAACTTGTGATACCTTACGCCTACCATCCGAAGATAAGTCTTGAACTCAGTAGATGTAAAATTAGTTCCATTATCTGAAACAATAGTTGTGGGTACTCCATACGCTGCAAAAAGTTCATCTAGCAGAGCAATTGTAGCACTAGCGGTCATGCTGATGGTAACCTTCACCTCGATCCACTTACTATACGCGTCCGTGATTATGAGTAACATCACTCCAAGATACGGCCCAGCATAATCTATATGAATGCGCTCCCACGGCGCCTTCGGGTACTCCCACACGTGATCGCGAAACTTTGGAGGATCGTTGGCATTTTTGGCACATTCATGACACTCCTTTGCAGCGCGCTCGATGTCCGCATCGATTCCGGGCCAATAAGTAAACGATCGTGCCAGCCCCTTCATCTTCACTATTCCTAGATGTCCGACGTGTGAATCCTTCAGTACAGCTTCCTGCAAAGAGCGCGGTACTACCACCCTGTGTTCATATACTAGACATCCAGCTGCAGTTTTGTAGTTGATTTCGGGGGACTTGAAGCCTACACGTTCCAAAGATTGGCCCTCCTCGAGAGCGCGAAGAATCTTGCCCAAGACGTCATCTCGCCGTGTTTCCTGGGCGATTCGTTGAGCATGGATTGGTAGCTGTTGGATTTGATGCAACATAAAACAATCGAATGCATCGAACTGTTCGTCTCGTCCGATAGTCATCTCTCTCAATAGGTTTACTCCACACCCTGGAACAACACGGGAACAGTAGTCTGCGTTGACATTTTCCTTCGTTCGTTTGAAAACAACGTCGAAATCGAAGTTTCCCAGAAAATCGGCGTAGTTGGCCATACGGCTAATGCAAAACGTCGGAAGCGATTTTTCTGGATGTAGTATCTGTGACAGCGGCTTGTGGTCAGTTATTAATGTCCAGTGATGTGCATACAGGTACATGACAAATTTCTGCACAGCCCAAACTATCGCAAGGGCCTCCTTATCCATTTGTGGGTAGCGCTGCTCGCTCGTGCTTAACGTTCGACTGGCATAAGCTATCGGTCTTTCCACTCCATCACTCAGACGATGCGACAACACCGCCCCCAGTCCTGTACTACTGGCATCCGTTGCTAGCAGTAATGGAAGCTCCGGATCGTACTGCATTAGCACCTGTGGTGAAATCAATGCACTTTTGATTTCTGCGTACGCTGTCTCGGCGCTTGCTGTCCACTTGAAACTGTCGTGGAGTAACATATCTCGGAGAGGCCTGTCCCGTGTGGAAAGGTTAGGAAAAAATGCGCTGTAATAAGTTGCCTTGCCCAGAAACAGCTGTAGTTCTTCGGGGCTCGACGGCTTTTTTTTGCATCCCGTATTGCTTCAATATGCCTGTCCGACTTATGTACTCCTGCAGCGTCGATTTTATGTCCCAGGAACTCCACAGCAGGAGCCCCGAACACGCACTTTGAACGATTTAGGCGAAGTCCATTAGTTCTCAGCCGCTCCAACGTTTTCTCTAGCACATCCAACATCTCCTCGAAGCTTGCCGCATGTATCAAAATGTCGTCGTAGAAATTCACAACATTCGAAAGTCCTTGTAGAACCGTTTCCATTCGCCGTTGCCAAATTGCAGGAATATTGGCAGCACCATATACAGATCGTGTGGGTAGAATCAACCCGTGCGTAGGTGTATTCAGCGTTAGAGCATGACCAAAATCATCGTCAACCGTCAAATGGGAATACGCATCGGTTATATCGAGATGACAGAAAACCGCCGCACCTTTCATTTTGTGAAAAAGATAGTCTGCACGGGGAATTGGATGCTCATCAATTATCATTCGGGCATTCAAAGTTGGCTTGTACTTACCTGTAATCCGAATCGTTCCATTCTTCTTGGCGACGACGTGAGTAGTAGATGCCCATTCAGATGATTCCACACGCTTGTAAAGACCGGATGAAATTTTCTTGTCTATTTCTCTGGCGTACGCATCTCGTAAAGCGAATGGAATTTCCCGTGCCTTTGAGAAGACTGGAGATGCTCCTGGTTTCAGATGTAGAGTAGCCGGAGGGCCAGCCAGCTTGCCAGCAGTCTCGCCGAATACACCATCGAAACGTGAGATGAGATGCGACAGCCGTTGCTGCTGTTGCTTGGTGATTACTGGTTCCGCTGCGGTAAGTGTGTTCACTTGCTCATCTGTGCCAAACAACTGCACAAAGTCAATGTCGTATGCAAATTGCGCAATCCATTCTCTACCGAAGAGTGAATCGAAATCTCCGTCTACGACGTACAAGTTTAGACGCCGGGAGGTCCTACCCAACGTAACATTCACTGGCAAGCGGCCGATGCAGTGGATTCTATGCCGCGTGTAACTGGCAAACTGTCTTTCCGATTTGTGCAGGCGAAAACTAGCTTTGATCTTGCGAAGCGTACACAGGCTCACGATTGCACACGGCGCCCCTGTGTCTAATTCCATCTTCACAGCCTTTCCATCAATCTGAACTTCTAGCATCTTCCTGTCCAGAGGTTCAACTGACGAGATGACATCAACTTTCTGCAAAGCCTCCGTGTGATCGGCGTAATCGGATCCCTCATCCGATAATGGAGACAGTTCTTCCTTGACTTGAGCCATCTTCGATCTACCTACCTTCGACAAATGTCCCTTTCTGTTGCAAGCAAAACAAACCGCATCCCGGAATTTGCAGTATTTTTGCTCATGGCGGCCTCCACAGCCATGGCATGTTGGAGCACGATCCTGGTTGCTCGAGCCTTGACGAAAGCTTCCTTTCTTTACACCCGTTGACACATAACCCAACTTGTTTGTTGTTATTGTCGTTCCGACCGGATCCGTTGTCACTTCTACAGATGTCTTGTGTGTAGCTTCCATTGTGTGCGCAACCTTGTAGGCAGCGTCAAACGTCTCCGGGTTTTTCGCAATAATTTCATCGCACATTCCGCGAGATTCCAAGCCAAAGAGTAACTGTTCGATGAGCATACGGTCCAAAAAATCTCCGTATTCGCAATGAGCAGCAGTCTGTCGTAGTCGCAAAGCAAAACTCGCAATACTCTCTTCCGGCTCCTGGCGCAGTTGGCGAAATTTAATGCTCGAAGTGTTCCACCAATGTTGTTTTTATCGCAGCGTATGTCAAATCCTCCGGTTGCCTTGGGCTGACGAGAAATTTGAGTGCGTTGTTCAGTTCAATTCCCATATGAACGCGAGCATTTGCGGCATGGTCCGCCTCCCGGATTCTGCTGAGGTTGAGCGCCCAGTCGAAACGCTTGAAATAGTCCTCCACTGATGAACCGTCCGATGTCTTGAATTCTCCGATTGCGAAAGCTGCTGGTTTTGAGCCTCC